GGGAATGAACCCAGGGCCTTTGCACTGAGGTTATAACCACAGCCTCTTTTTTTTTTTTTTTTTTTTTGAGACAAGACCTTCCTAGGCTTGGCCTGGGCTAGAATTTGGAGTCCTCCTGCCTTAGCCTCCCAGTGTTGGGATTACAAGCATGGGCCACCAGGTCTCTTGTTAACATGGTTTAAATAATACTAATAATTTACTGAGCACTAACATTGCTCACAACCATTCAATGAAGCAGGTGCTATCATTTATACCTATTGTATATAGATGAGGAAATTGGAGCTGGATGAGGTTAATAACTTGCCCAAAGACACATAGCTAGAAAAATGCCGAGCCAAGATTTGGAACTACTAAGATCTGTTGGGTATAAGTAACCACTTAACCATACTATTTCCCTCAAGTTAAAAGGCAATCCAATATTTACTGGCCACCTACTGGACCCTGGGCACTGAGCCTAAACGTTTAATGACACACCTGATTAGAGACTTTAAGGACATATTTCCATTTCCTTGCCAAAATAATGGTAACATTAATACAGCTGATCCTGTCCATGGGAGCAGCTCTAAATAAACAGACATTAACAAAAGCCGCTGGGTATCCAGTGGAAGTCTCCACACAGGAAGGATCTTGAGCTGATACATTTAGACGTCTTCCCCCTCCACCCTCCCCAGTCACCCAGTTATCAGGCATCTCCAGCCGGTTACCTTATCCCTAGAAAGGAACACCTGTCACTCACTCCTATCACCTTCCAGATCAATAAAGGCATCCTCATGCCTTTTCCCTTTTGAAGTGCATATCCTGGAATATCCTGACCTCAGGAGAGCTTTAGACAAATTCACCGCATCTGAGATGGCTCAGCCTGTCTCTGTTTCCTCAGAATAACTGTCATGAGGGGCAGGAGTCAAGCATGTGCCTCAAGCCTTTTATTTTTTTAGCAGAGGCTGACCTTCTCCTACATCAAGTATGGTTTTTTTCTGCCACTCCTTACTGTCCACATGCTGAGTTGGGCGTGTAGTCCCCGGAGGTATACCATTCAGCACAAACCTATTTTGTAGAAATTGTTCTCTGAAATCCAGGAATAAACTCCTGGCTATTTTCAGACAAAGATAGAGGTAGGAGTCTGTAGAAAAGAGCTAGGAAGGAGCTTAAAATACTTCACATTCCAGAAACACCCTCCCTTCCCCCCAGGAGATGGCTTTTCTCAGCAGAGTTGCACTGGAAGGAGTTGTACTAGGCAGCTGGTACCAGCTTTGCGGGCTTGAACAAATGGTTCAATGTCTGGGCTTTAGTTTGTTTATCTGTGAAATGGAGCTGATATCCAGGTCTCCCAAATTATTGTAAGGTTTAGGATATGTAAAACAATTAGCATTAGTGCCTGCACTGATGGGCCCCTACAGATTTATCGATTGCCCATGAATTCTTTTTTTTTTTTTTTTGGTACCGAGGATCGAACTCAGGACCTTAAGCTTGTGAGGCAGGCAGTGGAACCACTGAGCTAAATCCCAGGCCCGATTGCCCATGAATTCTTTCAAGGTCCAGTAAAGGGAGAAAGGTCTTACAGATTTAGTCTCTTGAAAAACGGGCTCAAAGGATAGGAGCCAGTCATGGTGGCATATGCCTATAATCCTAGCACTCTGGGAGGCCAAGTCAAGAGGACTGCAGGTTTAAGCCCAGCCTGGGCAACTTAATGACTTAGTGAGATCTCAAAATTAGAAAAATTATCTCAAAATTAGAAAAATAAATAAATAAGGACTGGGGATGCAGCTCAATGCAAAGTCCTTAGGTTCAACCCTTAGCACACACACACAAAAGGAAAGGTTTAGAAGTCTTTTTTGTTGTTGTTTTGTTTTCGTACCTGGGATCAAACTCGGGAACTTGCGCTTTCGAGGCAGGCCAGCAAGATAGGTTTAGGATGCAGCTCCCCTTAGATCCTTTGCCTAGGATGCCCAAGGCATGCCCTGGGTTCTATCTCCAGCGTCCCACGTGCTCATACACACAAAGGAAGGCAGACAGATTGAGAGTTTAAGAAAAGTGTTCTACTAACCCAAGTCTGTTTTATCAAATACTTACTAGGTTCTGGGTTTCTGACCTAAAAGGTATCAAGTGGTAAGTTTACCTAACAAGAGACTGAGCTTGGGATCCCCATTTTACCATATGATTTTGAGAAAGAGAAAGAGAAAGGGAGAAAAGAAGAGAGAGCACGGGAAACCACTTTTCTGGACCCACAATTACCATATGGCAGATATATGGCTAACTTACCAGTTTGTGGTGCGAGTCACCTTGTAAATGTGGGAAATTTAAGAGTAGCTTCGTGACACTACACTGGCTTCGTAGTTCAGGCAGGCAATACCAACCCAGGTCCCAGCTGTAAGGCAGGATTAGTAGTGGCCAACCGGCTTTCTCTCACAGTGTGCATGGGCTTTCTGAACAGCAACTGTTTTCTTTTCCCAGTCCCAGACAGGGCCTCTGTGGAGCAACTCTCCAGCCTAGCACGAAAATGGCAGTGACTGGCAACATGTGCTGTACTTCATCCCAATAGGTGGCAGGCACCATGGCCCGGAAGAGACAGTTTCAACAAGCAGCTTAAGTGATGGAATTACGTGTTTACTTCTACACATCCTATGCTAACCAAGCGATCTGGTCATTATAATGTACTAGTTAAGATCTCTGGAAATAGGGTTGGTTCCAAATTTCTTTTTTTTTTGTTGGAACCGGGGATCAAACTTGGGTCCTTGCGCTTGCGCAGCAGGCGGCAAAACCACTGAGCTAAATCCCCGGCCCCCAAATTTCTACTTACTCACTAGTTGTGTGACCTTGGGTAGTTCTGTTTACTCATTTTCCTCATCTGTAGCCCTGGCATGTGATTGGTGTGCAGTAATGTGAAGAAGTGAGCAGAATGCTTAGACAGAGAGTGTCTCATGAGGAAGGGCCAGTAGGAAATTCTCCCATTTTGGCCGGGGATTTAGCTCAGTGGTTCCAGTGCCTGCCGTGCATGCGCAAGGTCCAGAGTTTGATCCCTGGTACCAACAAAAAAAGGAAATTCTCCCATTTTGTATTTCAACTAAGTTTATGGGAGAACTACGGGTAGAAAAGAGAAGCTTAATTTTCCTTTCGTTAATGAGGGGAGAAAAGAAAAAAAAGTCCCATCAAAAATTCTCAGAGAATTTTAAAAAGATTCTGCAAAACGTCACCATAACACTAAAATAAGAACAGTTTCATCCTAAAGAGTATGAGACTTCATGGTTTGAAAGCAATTTAAAGTCTACTAGCAGAGTTAATATCTGAAAATTCCTGTGAAAGAGCATTTGTCCCCATTTTACAGATAAAGAAACTAAGAGTCACAAAGCCAAAAGGCCACAGAAGCAGTCAAGCTGGGATTTCAAGCCTTTAAAAGTACAAATTCAGCACTCTTCACAAGAGAATTTCATTTCCATTGAGTACTGAGCCTACATTGTTTAGACATGCCTGAAATGGCATTTCAAGAACCCAGAGTGGAATGACCAGGTTTGCAACATGCTTAGAGAAATGCAGCCGTCTGGATCACTATGCTACCCTAAAATAGTTTTCTTTGGTTCAGGAGGACTCAGATAGCATAAGCTGCCCCCACTCTGACATATTTGAGAAATCTTTTATTAGATGTCCCAGAAGGCAACATTTTAAAATCAGGCAATCAGTAATCACAACTAAATACAAAATTTCAGGTAAACTTGCCTTTCAAAATAAATCAGACCCTTGCAACAGACTTGCCCAAGTTTTTTTTTTTCCTTGTACAAAAACAATTAACACCACTTTGCAAAAGGCCTAGTACAATACAGTAAAAAAAAAAAAAAAAAAAAAAGATTCCTCCCAGCATATTACCCAGCAGCAGCTTATAAAACACAAGCTATTCAGGTGGGACATCAGTAACCTATTTCCCACCTGTCCTTCCAAGACAGTTCCAGAAGTCAGTTTGCTCCTGAAAACCCTGCTCCAGAAGGTAGAGCATCTATACATCCAAAAGTTCCCCTGGGGTTCTATGAGGTTAGGAAACCACCTCAGCAAGAGAACATTACGGACAGTAGGTCGGAAGCAGCACTTGGTTTTTCAGAGCCACAGAGTGTTTACCATCCATTCCCTCCTCCCCCACTTCCAAGCCCAGAGCCAGCAGGCTCCTGCTGTCCTGGGCAGTTTTGGAGGGGCTGATCTTTCTTCCAGGCCAAGCTGAGGGGTTGCTCACATACCACCTACTGGGTTAGCTGGCTTTCCCATATTGGAGGCTACACCTTCATTCTACTTGGAGCTGCAGAGTTCAGCTAGAGCAGAATCCATCATAGTTGGCTAAGCAGAGCTCCTGGAAGTGCCTTTGCAACCCACCAGGAAGCAAGTCCACTTTATGGAGCCCTGTATGAGTCCCAAGGGCTCTCCCCAGAACCTCAGTAAGGCCTAGATTCTGGGAAAGGCATCTGACTCATGTCAAGCTGGCAGAGAACCAGGCTGGTGCTACAGAGCCAGCAAGCTCCCTGGACAGGTTTGTATGGTTCCAGTAGAACTTCAAACGGAATCAAGGACTGAGATGAGAGGCAGGTGGGAAAGAGGAAGTATTACAGTGCTTCCTTGTGGGTGCCTTATACCTGCTTGAGAAGTCCAAGATGAATCCCAAAGGGCCCTTGGAAAACACCTGGGCAAGGGATCAAGTTCATGAGCCAGGACTCCAGGCCTTCCTCAGGCCCCAGGCTAGGACCCATTTCCCTGGGTTTTGAGGAACTATTTCAGACCTGTGGGTAAAGGGTGCTATAGAGCCCATTGCATAACAAAGGCAGAATGAAACAAAAAAAGTCCCTCGTGAGGGCAGAATGCTCTTTCCCTCAGAGAAGAGGGCCCAAAGGGCACTGAGACAAAGATCTAGAGGCCAAGCTCTTTAAATGTTCTCAAAGTCGCAGCATTAAGAGTAGAGGGAGGGCCAGGGATTTAGCTCAGTGGTTCTGCTGCCTTCCTCACCGGCTCAAGGTCCTGAGTTTGATCCCCAGCACCAAAAAAAAAAAAAAAAAAAAAAAAAAAAGAGCAGAGGGAGGGGTGTGGCCTAACATAATAATATATTAAAGGTTTGCACTCCTCAGCTACTGTAAAGTGTCTGACAGTGAGGTAATGGTCCATGTTGATCAAGTCTACGAGCTTGTCTTCACTCAAGACAGCTCGTGTGTCTCCTGGAAAAAGGAGCCTCAGAGAGAGTGTTCAGGCCCAGCTGTCCTTGCATCACCCCCAGAGACATCAGTGGGAGCATCCTTTCCTAGCCTAAAGCTCCAGCGGAGTGTGAGATTTCATGCAGGCTGGAGCCCCTGACAACGTCCACCACCTGTTGCATAGCATCTGTCAGCCTTTTCTTCGGAGCTAGCTAGTGAGCTAGGCAGACCCCCAGGCTCCTCAGTCAGCTGCCTGCTGAGAAGCCAAAGGCGCCAGAGAGGACGAAGCACTGATAAGTCAGGGAAGAGGGAGAGCTGGGTTTCAAGGTTTCCAAGAATGCAAGCCCTTATTGTGTGTGCACCGGCTGCAATGCATTCTGGGATCTACTGTTCAGACTGTCCCACCCTAACCAAAATGTGCAAATTACTAAAGGGGAAAGGGAGGTTAAAATATAAACATATGTCTTTGTAAGAGAGAAGAGTCAGGCTTTTTGGTCAGTTAGTAGCCACTGAGGTACGCAATTCTTTTCTGCAGTTGCTGCTGCCGGCACCGGAGCTGCCTTTTCTCTGTAGCCATCCTTTTCTCAGCCCCTACAAGGGCTTGCAGATATTCCAAGGCCTTGCTGAGGATCACTACTTTGGGGGCCTTAGAGCAGCTGGCCAAGGTGGGTACCTGGTCCCTCAGGGCCAAGAACCGTGAGCGGAGGTCATTTCGCCTTTTGCGCTCCAAGAAGTTATGGTTCTTCCTCTTGCTCACGTCCTCAGTATCAGAACTGACAGGTCTGGGGTGGCAGGATGGAGGAGCCTCACTTTCTACAGGTGGGGAGCTCACAAGCTCTTCATCCTTCTCATCTTGCTTCTCCTTGTGTACTTCTCTTTCCATAGTCTCTTCCTGGGGACTCCTTTCTGGGGCTTCTTCTTGGGAGCAACTTTCTGGAGGAAAACGGGCAGCATAGTTGTGCTGTTGCTGATGGATTGAGATATGGAAGTGTTTCATGCAGGGATCCAGAGGGTCTGCCCGCACTGTGATCGTGACCGGCTTCCGTATACCTAAAGACTGTCTTTTTTCCACTGTTACGACGTCGATTTCTTCACCCTCTATCCAAGAAGAGAAGAAACACACCACATGAGAAACACATGCATAGACCTTGCAGCTTTAGGTCTCCCTGCCAGGGCTTGGGAAGGTAAGTGACATTTTCTCAATTTAGATATCAACAAATTGAAGTGAGGAGAAAGACAGCTAATTCATTTGTGCTGGGCTAAAGGCAGAGTGAAGGAAGAAGGGAAATAAGTAAGAAGGAAAATATTCTCCAATTTCCTTTTGCACAGCAAGGCTTAGATAAGAACAAAAGGCAGACCCAAGCCAACAGCCCCCAGTCTGCACAGCCTCTCCCCGCCCCCACTGAGGACATGGAGAGAAAGAGCTACTGGCCTGGGACAAAGTTTAGCTATAAAGATCTTCCCCAGTCGGGCTCTTTCATGCCCCATCAGAATTGTAAATGAGGGGTCTGTGGGCAGAGCTGCCCTTTGTTCCTGCCCAGCACAGCCTGCACTTGGGAATTGTTACTTTTCACAAGTTATAAATCCTATTATTCCCCCACCTCTCTATTCTGCCATCCTTTCAGTTGAAGATTCAGAGAAGGGAGGGCTACAACCATCCCTCCTCACCCACAGAAGGGAGGGGAGTTTCCCTTAGGACTATTTTGCTCCTGGGTTCAACGGGTTTCTAAAGTCATCCATCATTTTATAGGTTGCCCACCCCACCCCCTTTCCTGGTCCAGGAGAGGGTTGGATTTATAATCATAGGTCTCTGAAAGCTGCAGGAACTTCATAAAGGTACAAGCAATCATTTCCAAGCTACCTACATCAGAGGCAGAGAATGAGCAGCACAATGACCCAGTTACAAGAGCCAAAATGCAAGGGACCTGGAGACTCCAGGACGCATCCCCGCCATTCCCAAGCTCAAAGGTCTGTTAGATTAACTCAACCAGAGAAGCAACTGGGGGTGGGGGACCCCTCTTGTTCCCCATATTTTGCAGCTCCCACACAGAAGGCCACCTTAATGGATTCTGGTCTGACAACAGAAGAGCTCGGTTCTCAGCCTCTTTTCCATATCAGGAAGCTTGAATCCCTTTGTCAGGAAGGCTTCCATTGTGTGGACAATCGCATTATTTCTCCATTAATAAAACCTGACCATTCAGCCCTCCTGGCTCCAAAGCCTGTGATTGGCTGGCTAAGCTGTGTTTGGAATGCTATTTTACCCAGCCCCTGGCCTCCATTGGTTGAACTGTCCTGTCACTCACACTCCCCACCCCCCCCATTGTTTGCAATCTGTTGCATTTTGTCCTAGACCATGTGGCCTGAGAGTGAACCAGGGGCCCACAAACAGGTTCAGGTTAAAGGGCAGGTCAGAAAATGATTCAGGAGGCTTCCCTACATCCTAGATTTTTAAAATTTTCACTGTTAAACCTCATGATTGGTCTCTAAGAAAAGAAATACTTTAAAACACTATTTTCCTTTTGCACAAAGTAGTGTCTGACTCTACCCAGATAAGGAAATGTCCCCAGCAGGACAATCAAGTTCAACCCCCTCATTTGCAAAGAGGGAAACTGAGGCCCAGATCAGTCAAGCCCACATATCACCTTTGTAAAGTTCTGATTCTCAAACTAAGACCTTCAAACTTCCAAAACAATTCTCTTTCCACCCTATCACTCTACCAGTGTTCTTTATTGGTTTCTTGATCTCAAGACTCCTAAGTCCACCCATTAAATAAACACAAGCTCTTGGTGTAGAGAAAGCAGGTTAAAAATGACAGTCCATCAAAAAAAGTAACTTTTAATTTTTGTTATCCTCATTTTTTTCCCTAAAGTATATGACAACTTCCCCAGTTCCCTCTTTTTTTCTTGATTTTTTTTTTTTTTGAGACAGGGTCTCACTATGTAGTTCTTCAGGCTGGCCTTGAACTTATGGCAACCCTCCTGCCTCAGCCTCCTAAGTGCTAGGATTACAGGTGTGTGCCACCACGACTGGCCCCAGTTCACTCTTGAATGCCCATCTGTTATTCCTAAAAACTTAAGTGAGTTTTCCCTGTCCTGGTTTGTGTGCTGCTAGCTTCAGTCTGCACCCTTCAAGAGGATTCTCTCCAGTCCCTCTCACAGGGACAGAGGTCTAACAGGTTGGAGTAAGAACACAGTAGTCCATTGGCACAGGATGCTCATCTGGCTTAGTGTTGTTTGCTCTTGCATCAAGGATGGGGGAGTAGGGCCTGGCATTCTATGGCAATGACCCTAGTACCTAGCTCACAAGTTGGCACAAAGTAGGGGTTAGTGAACATTTGCCAAATGCAAGACAACAAATGAAGATGTATTGGGAGAGAGCCAAGACACCTTTCAAGCTTAGTTGAAAGCAGGTTAGCCTTTCTCAGACCATGAAGACCCTCAAACACCAAGGAAGAGGTACTTGCCTGGAATGGAGCATTGGGAAAAGAAGCTGGCTAAATGGTAGGATGCTAGGGCTCCCTTTGGGGATTTCCTATGTCTGAGCCTCAGTTGTTCCATCTGTTAGTGGGGAGCATTTATTCCTTCCCTAGCTACCTTGTGAGTGATGATGAGCAGGTCTAAGTGGTAAAAAGTGGGAGGGGCAAGGGGGGGTTTTAAAGTAAAGCAGGCAGGAGATCTAGGTTCTTTTAAAGGATGGAGGCTTTGGCTTTGCACAAAAGGCTCCTCTGCTTCTCTCCCTAGGGGAGTGTGAGTATCCCAGAAAAAAGGCACCAACAAAAAAGTTTCAAGTTTGAAGTGACTTATAAGGGCCCCCTTCCAAGCTACCAATGACAAAAATTCCCTACAGTCCAATGTAAGTATTGTTCTTTCTAAGCACCAACCCTCACCCTGTCTCCCTGGTCCCTGGGGGCTCCAGTCTTCATCAGAGGGACTCTGGGTCCCTCCCCACTTCTCCAAACTGTTTACCAACATACCCACGTGCCAGACAGACACTGCTGGGGGCTACACCGGCAGCTCCAACCAGAAAAAAAGGGGAGGTGACAGAAAGGCTAGAGAAGACGCAGTGCCAGACCTCAGGCAGCAGTAGAGGTCTGGCCACCCATGAGGTGGCCCCCTCCTTAGATGGCCCGAGGTGGTCCTTACCCGAGTCGCTTGGGCTCTCGGACCCCGAACAGGCCTGGGTCTTGGGCTCACCCAGCTGACAGGGGGTGGCGGGCGTCGGGTTGCCGGCTTCGAGGCTGGGAGTGCAGTCCGGGGCTGCAGGCGTCTTGGGCGGGTTCCCCCGGGGCGCGCCAGGGGCCAGCCGGTCGCTCACCGCTCTCTCCAGCCGTTCCCGGGCGGAGAAACCGCTCCACATGCAATCTCGACGGATGATGGAAGCGTAGTTCCTGCCCCAAGCTTTCGAGTGGCCCCGAGATTCCGCCTCGTCCCCGGCGCCCCCACCGGGCCACGGCTCCGGGGGACCAATCCCGGGGGCTAAGTCCCCGGCGCCAGGACCAGAGCCCCAGGGCGGCGACGTGGGGGGCGACGGCACCAGCTCGAATTTCTTCCAGATGTCCTCGCTGGGCGCCGTGGAGCGGTAGAAATCCTCCCCGCAGTCGTAGTCGTAGAAATAGTGCTGGTACGAGTCGAAGTCCATGTCCGCTCCCTGCAGGAGGGAAGGGGGGACGTGCTAACTGGGCTGGGGACAGAGGGAGGAGGGGATCCTGGGTCCCTGGGCACGGTCGGCTGCTGGGCTCTCTTTTCTCCCCACACCCACCGGCTCACCGGCTCACAGCCTGCGCCCTGCCCTCCAGTCCCGGGAAGCCTGGCCGTGGGTCAGAGCTCCCAGGGAAGAGGCTCACCGCGCGCGGACCAGGTTTTGGGGAGCGAGTTCAAAGCAAACTTTGCCAGCGCCGCCCGGAGCGCAGCTCCCAGGGCCCGGCAGGGCCGAGCGGGGGCGCGCTGTGCCCAATAGGCAGCCCGCCGCCTGCAGGCTGCTCGCCCCCCGCGCCCGGGCCACCCGCAGCCTCACCTCGCTCCCGCCGCCCGCCACCTGGAGCAGACAGGCTCCCCGCCGGCTCGCGGCAGCCCGGCAGCCTGCACACACACATGCGCGCGACGAAGCGCGCGGCCCGCACTCACGAGCGCGCCCCCGCGCCTCGCTCGCGCACCGCAGCCAGGACGCTCCCGAGATCCGCGCGGGAGCGCGAGCTGCAGGCGCATTGTTTCCTGGCCGCCTTATATCTCGTCGTGCGCCCAGGGCTCTGGGACCATGGGGGTGGGTCCTATGGGATAAGCCCCGCCCCTCCCCGCCCCTTCCCGCCCCTTCCCGGGCAGTCGACAGGTGGGGCCGGCCCCACCTCCTGGCCGAGCTCGCCCTCTATTCTATCCCTGTGGCCCCCCAAATAAATTGCACGCCCGGGAGCGCGGAGCAGGAGGCGAGGTGATGCAGCCGCGCGGTCGCAGGGTGGAGGCGTGACTCTAGCGAGCCACCAGCGGCGCCGGGCGACAGAACTAACGCCGCGCTCCTGGCCCACTCTGGGCGGGAGAGTAGGGCTACTCTCGCCCCACCCAGATCCCACTTCCCGGGGCGCGCCCCGCTGGGTTCAGGTGCGTCCGACCCAGTGGTGCGGAGGAGGGCGGAGGGGGGCGGAGGGGGGCGGAGGGGGCAACTGCACCTCCAACGCGCCACCTGGCGGCCTTCGGCCCAGAACTGGAACTCGTCCCAACGTCCGCTTAGTCACCTTAGCTCATTTCTTTAATTTAGCCGCCCAAATCTGGACGGTAGTGAAGCGAAATGACCCGGGCTTTGAAGTCAGCAACGTAACCTATTTTAAGCTTCGCTGTCATCTGTAAGATGAGGGCACCGTAACAGTACTCGTCTCATTGGGCTGTTGGGATGATTTAAGGTTAAAAAAGCACTCCGGGAAGGGGACCAGGCCAGTGAGGGAGGCAAGCAACGCTGGCTTAGCCCTGGGGCAGGTGGTGAGGAGGACACCCTTGTCCCCCACCGGTGCTTGCCCACCGTTAAATCATTACTCCCTCCCCACGCAACACTCACTAGGAGGTTTTCTAGTAGAGGAAAGAGAATGGGGTCCAGGAGTCTGGAACTTCGTTCAGACCCTTTTGCTGCTAGCTTTGGGAGTAGTTGGTTAAAACCTTGCCCTGCATCTCTGGCCAAGATGATGGACATATGATTCCTGTGTGTCACCTTTTACGCCGACTGAAGAGAAAGAACTAAACTATACAGCCTGTCTGAAATTTAGACCCAAGGAAAGTAACTTGGGATAGCAGCCAATACATGTAGGATCCACCTGGCATCAAGGTCTGCTGTCTGTCTGCCCCTGCCTGATTGCCTGCTGTCTCTTTCCCTCCCACTCTGTGGTTTAAGAACACCAAACTGCTATCCCGCAGGCAAAAGTGAGAGGTGGAAGCAGTTGGATGTGGTTAGACCAGAAGGTCAGAGGTGTGAGTTGATGTATGGGGCGTGGGAGAGAAGGTGGGGAAGATGATTTCCTCAGTCTTGGATCCATTGGGTCTAAAGCGCATATGGGGGCTGGGGATTTAGCTGTGGTTTCATCGCCTGCTGCGCAAGCGCAAGGACCCAAGTTTGATCCCCCCCCAAAAACAAAAAAAAAAACCCCATAAATTTCTTTTAGGGCCGGGGATTTAGCTCAGTGGTTTCGCCGCCTGCTGCGCAAGCACAAGGACCCGAGTTCGATTCCCAGTACCAAAAAAAAAAAAAAAAGAATTCAATAAAGTGCATATGGGACATCCCTGAAGGCAGGAGCCAGCTCCTGCTTTGTAATAATCTCTGCACCTAAAAGACCTTCTGGCAGATAATAGGGTTTTTAATTTTTATTTTTACCAGTATGTGTTTGAAATACATAATGAATACATTCATCACAGGGAGCTGGTACATGTATGTAACACATCTTAATTCTTTTTATATCCCCTTCCCCTGCTCTCCCTCCTCCTCCCTCCATCTCTCGGTTTTTTTGTGAACTCATTTACTGGGTGACCCACTCAACCAGATTTCACAGAGGCAGCCTGTATTGCCCTGCTCTGTACCAAACAGAAGGCCCAGTAAAAATTCCAAGTTTAGTTGCAACCACGAGGCAGAGGGAGGGTTGGACTGCCTTTGGGTGACTTGTTCTCTGCTCCACCGTTGTCTGGGATGGTTTCGGTGCCACTCAGAGTTCTTGGTGACAAATGACAGAAATTGACCTCAGGTAAATTTAAACAGAAAATAACTACTGGGAGAATTTGGGGTATAGAATTCATGGAAGGGAATCTATGCTTTATCTATTATTATTATTTTTTGGTGCTGGGGATGGAACTCGGGTCCTTGTGCTTTCTGGGCAGGCGGCAGAACCACTGAGTGCTCTATGGTTTATCTAGACAGGATCCCCTACTCAGAAGCCCTTCCCCATGGTTTCATTGTTGTAGATGATATCTGGGGACAACCACGAAGTGCCCCCATCTAGAAGTAGGGAAAAAAGCAACTAAGTTGTCTTCTGAGAATTATGCTGCTCTTTGACTTTGGACACTTTTGTTTGATGTCCATCTTCCTCAGCAGATGGGAAGCTCAATGAGAACTCAATGAGGGACAAATGTCAGTCTTGTTCACTGCTGTAACCCCAGGGCTTAGACCAGAGCCTGGCATATCACAGAGTAGCCAGTAACTGTGTTGCCTAAACACCAATCTCTAAAGCGTGAATACAGAAATGTGCCAATTTGCCTGAGGGAGTGAGGATAACTCTGGCTCAGTCTAGACTACAGCCTGATTAAAGGTACTAATGCAGTGCTGGGTAGGCTGCAAACATTTATAATCCCACCTATTCAGGAGGCTGAGGCAGGAATTTCACTTGATCCTAGCCCAGGATTTGGAGGCCAGCCTGAGGAACATAGTAAGACCCCCCATATTCAAAATAAAAATATTGGTCTGGGGATTTAGCTCAGTGGTTCAGCGCCTTCCGCACAAGCTCAAGGTCCTGAGTTCGATCCCCAGTACCAAAAACAAACAAAAAATAAAAATATTAATGTGCCTAAGAAAAAGTGCCAGTCAGTAGGGTCTGCACAGCTAAAGAAGCCAGAGATCAAGGAGGGTTGCCAAAGTAATCTCCAGCAGTGTCCATCAAAACACTCTCTGAGGACAAAAATGTTGATCTAGGAACAGGGGAGATGAAGGCAACATTCTATGAAGCCACCAAATTCATCCCCCACCTCACCCATGCTCTGTATCACTAAGCAACTCTCTGAAAACCATTCTATCCCCCATATAGTTCTGCCCACAGGGAGAGAATGCACTCAGCAGTGAACAGAAAGATCCAGTCTGCTTCAAAGCCCTGCTTTCCCTTATAAATTAATGAATTGGCATCTGATTTGAAATACCAGTCTCATGAGCCTGGTTAATGCGTGTGTGTTCCGTAGAGAGGCTGCTGCTTTTAGGACTAACAACTGTGGTTTCAAAGCTAATGTCTGGACCCAGAACGGTGATAAATTCACCAAGGTAACAAATGCTACCCTGGGGACATCCAATTTATCTGCAGTTTTGTATTTCCTTTTTCTTCAAACATTTTTTGTCCACGAAGGCATTTATTTATATGTATGTATGTATGTATTACAACCCTAGAAAAAGGACCCCAGGATTTCTCCTTCTGTATGCTTTTATCTTGCTTCTTCAAGGTCCGTGATGCCTGCTGAGCTTGTCAGTATGATGCCATCAAATTGGTGTGAGGGAGCAGACTCTTCTGCCATTTTGGCAGGTCTTTGAGTTGCTTATCAAATCCGGGAATAAGTACTCCGTATTTGTGAGGTTCACAGCCATATCATCAATGTATGATCAACAATGTATCTATGTTTCATCATCACAATAAGAAACCAGACAGGGCCAGGGATTTAGTTCAGTGGTTCTGGCACCTGCCTTGTTGCAAGCGCAAGGTCCCAAGTTCGATCCCCAGTACCAAAAAAAAAAAAAAAAAAAAAAAAAAAAAAGGAAGCCAGACAATGACTTTGGAGCACAGCCCAATAAGAACCTGGTGGTCCCCACCTGCCTCGCAAGCACAAGGACCAGAGTTTGATCCCTGGTACAAAAAAAAAAAAAAAAAGAACCTGGTGCTCCATCTCAGAGTTACATCTCCAGCCTTTTTGATTTATTTTGAGACATGGTCTTGCTAAATTCCCCAAACTAGCCTAGGACGTGGGATCTCTGTCTCAGCTTCCCAATTAGGTGGGATTACAGGCATGTGGCACCATGCCAGGTCTTCTTGATTCTGTTTGTTTAATTGTTTGTTTAGAGGTAGGATCTCACAATGCAGTCCAGGCATAACTTGAACTTGCTATGTAGCCCAGGCTGGCTTTGAACACATGGTCTTTCTACCTTAGCCTCCCAAGCCTGGTGCTGATTGCAGATGTGAGCTATCACTCCTGGCTCTTAAAGCACTTTGAATGCTCTTGAGAACATCAACCAGGGCATTCATGTGCACAATTATAACAGCATGGAAAGGTGGCAGAAAGAACTAAAACATATTTTCATTTCAATCTAATCTTTTTCTTTTTTTCAGTGTCGGGGCTTGAATCCAGGGCCTTGTGCCTAATAGGCAAGCACTCTACCATGGAGCTACTCCCAGCCCCAAAACATTTTTAATTACAATAAAACACATACAAAGGTTTTTAAGCATATGACAGGGTTAAAAAGATGTCCTCTGCTGGGTGTGGTGGTACATACCTGTAATCTTAGCACTCTGGAGGCTGAGGCAGGAGGATGGAAGCTAGTTTGAGGCCAGCCTGGGCTACACAGTGAGTTCAAGGCCAGTATCTATCTCAAAAAAAAAAACAACAAAGTTGTCCTCTACCCTGATTTTTTCACCTGATTCCCCCTTCTGAAAGGCAAGCATTCTTTTTTTTTTTGGTACCGGGGATCGAACTCAGGTCCTTGCAGTTGCACAGCAGGCACAAAACCACTGAGCTAAATCCCCGGCCCCGGCAACCATTCTTTTAGTTTTTTAAAAGTTTATTTATTTTTTTCACTTTTATTAGTACATGTTTGGTGTACATAGTGATTACATTCATCAAAGGGAGTTGGTACACATATATAATATCGATACCTCAATCTTTTTACTTCCATTTTGACTGTGTCTTGACCCTAATCTTTCTTTCCATATTTTGAGCAATACAGATTATCTATTTTTTCTTGACTTTTAAATTTCTGTTGACATAAGAAGGTAGCTTTTGTATTTCCCT